CACACACAAACCAACTAAAAACCGAATTAAAGTCAATTTTTAAATTATTAAGTCATGACTATTGCCTTGCATTTCATTGATAGAATAAAGAAAAAAAAGACATTTGAAAACAAATGATCTCGGTGATAATCTCTAAGTTTGATATTGTGACAAAAACATTCTGCAATTGTTTTCTCCTTGACAGTAGGCTTGAATTGGCAGTTGTATGTCATTGATTTAATACTGAAATTAATTCAATGTGATAATCTCTGTATGATTGTTATTTTACTAGTTATTCAATATCTTGATTTTTGAACATGGTTTATTGTATTGTTTCTACTCCCCACCCACACAAAAAAGAAACTGAAATAGATTTTTGCCCTGAAAATGTAATATATGTAAATTATATATTTAAAAGAAAAAAAAAAACACACACTGAGCCTTAAATGTATCACATTTTTATGACAAGAAAGAAAATTGAAATATATTTCTGGAGAGTGTTTACATATCCAGTCACTAAAACTATATAATTAAAGGAAAGATGAAAATATTTATCTGTATTAATATTTATAAATAATTCCTAACCATTTATAATCTTATACTAAGAAATTAGTCAACTGAAGTTATATAAATAATAAGTAGCATGTATGCAATGCACTCACTTAAGATTACATGATAATTTCCTAAGTTGTTTTGTTTAAATATCATACTGTTACTACAGATTTAAGACAAATATTCATTATACTGACATTTATTTTAATGATAATGTTATTCTCTGCTGAAACTTAAATTGGTTTTATGATCTTTTTCCGGATAAATTTTAAATCAGTCAACTTATTTCTGACTAAATTCTGAATGTAACTTTGATGCCTTCACACACGATTGATGAAAATTGAGATTTACGCAATCTATACATTTTTGTTCGGATTGTGATTTGTTTGTGGCCAGATTAAAAAATATTAGTAGAAATAAAAGATTTCTCTCTCCACAACCTAAAAATAAAGCTGATAATATTTCAAAATTCAAAATCAACAATGAGTTTCTGTTTATTTTATTTAAACATTAAAAAAATGGAAAGAAAAATCCCTTAAAACGTGAGATTTAAAAACTGTCACAAGTTAACCAATAAAAGTAAAACTCTTCTCACATAAAACAAACACAAAAAAATGCTAACAAAACCGATTGGGTACACTTAGGATGTCATTTTTTAAAATCATAAGTAAAAGTAGACTAATTACGTAGTCAATATGATAAATTTTTAAATATATTCTATGTAGATAAACTAGTTCAAGAATAGAAAAAGTCACTTTGAATAATATCACACTAGGACTGACTAATGAAATTCCAATATTTGATCTCACTTAAAATTTGCGTCTTCATCATGACATCCCAAATTCAAAGTTTCATAAAATGTATTCATTTTAAATTTTATGTATTTCATGTAGGATAAAAATAGTCAGTCATGTGTAAAGGGCATAAAAAGGTTATGAAAATCAATACAATCCAAAGTGTATCCAAAATATCTTTAGAAAATAAAGTATAAATAAAAATGGATAAACATACGTCTACAATGCCTTTGTCGTAAATCATTTAAAAAGCTGTAACTGAAAGTTGTTATTTTAGCATAAAATCTGAGATAAAAAGATTTTAGATTTTTATTAAAAAAACTATGCAAGAATTTTTTATCCTAAAATAAAAGTATAATGCTAATTTTGAATATCCATTTACATTACAACTACTAATTAATTTGATGGTAGCACAGTCTGTATGTTCACAATCATAAACCAGTCCCAGCTGTGTACATATTTTTTTTAATTTAAATAAATATGTATTTTTTATTTTATTTTTATGTGAATGTATCTCTAAACACTTGAATCTACAGACTGTGTGGAATAAAATTGTAAATGAACCACAAAAATAATTTTAAGTTGAACGTATCAAAATGAACAGTTAAAAAAATCCTTTTTAAACAACTGTTCTAATTTAATCTTGGCTTTTTAAATAATTTTCACACCAAGTAACACCAAGCCTTAAGATTTTTTTCTTTAAATTTGTGATAAATCGTTTATTCAATTGTAAAATGTATTTTTTTAAAACACACTTTTAAATAAATCCGCCAAAATTAATTAAGAAACAAAAATAAAACACTGGGTCTTCTTGTATGGTTTATAAAAATAAAATGGAATCTGTACGAACTGATCAGAATAATGTCTGAAAGGCTTCAAAATAATATTTTCCAAACTGTAAATAGAAAATATTTACATTTTTTAATTATGATGGTAAGTTATAAGAAAAAATGAAGGATCCTCAACTTTTATGTAAAATTGTCTGGTTTAAATGGAAAATAATTTTAATATTCATAAAAAACACATGAAAAAGTAACACCTGCCTGTTTCAATTTAGAAAAAGTAAAGAACAACTAGTTAAAAGCATAAGGAAAATGTGGCTACTAGTACTACAGTAGCATCATTACTACTTGCCCTAACAAAGACCATTATTCTAATAGTCAGATTTTAAAAATTGATCATTACACAAGATCAAAATTAAAAATCCCACTCATCAGCTTGTCCGTCATGGGACATCATTATATATTAGAATTAATGAAAAATGACAATTGCTAGATAAAAAATGCGCCCTACTTTCAATATGAACGTGAGGAGGAGAAAAGAGGAATATAATTTACAACTACACCTAGAAGCTGTAGGTGACCGACCTATTTTGATCGACATGAGAAAAGTAAAAACAGGAGAGAAGTGAAGGAAAGAAAATAATCTTCTTAATCTTCATAAAATAATTTAATAAGTGTTTCCTAACTCTTTTTAAACGGTTTTTTCATGGGGGGGGGCGGGTAATTCTCTACACAAAATTTATAAACTAAAAAAGCTTTCTAAAAGCTGGATAGTAAATATTTTTTTTAATTAAAAAAAAAAAAAAACTATTAAAAAGACTACTAATTGAATCAAAGTGAATAATTTTGCTTCAGGTACCGTTAAATAACCTTTTTTATTTTTACCTAAAAACCCTAACAGCTGGGTGTGTAATGTGGAAATAATTCTTTATAGAAGAATTTGAGATAGCAAATTTAAAAACTTCAATCCCATAAGAAACACTAAAACAATAATTGGTTGGCTCTGATCTAGAAAATTCCTGCAAGTTTGTCACTAGTGAGCTTAAAATAGAAATAGAATAGAAATCAATAGATTTGTGGTACAAACTCCAAAAAGAAGCACCATTAGCGGTCAACTTGCCAAATACAATATTTACAACAAATCATATATCGACATATCTACACATGTGCCATTAGAAATTTATACGTCAACTAAATGTTTTTTTTGTTTTTTTTTTTTTGTTTTTTTTACATTGGCTGGAATGTAGTAAACCCCCAGATGTTTAGTTCTATTTTAAAGTAAATTGCTTGGTTGGGGTAAGAACACAGAGATGTATAGATACACAGCTAGACTTACAAAAGGAAGAAAAAAAAACTGTAAGAGAGAAGTGAGCTTATTCAAGATGGCTTGGTTGGGTCATGTTATATCATCAACTAACGAAAGATGAAACAACCAACCTTTTAAAAGGTTGTTTGCAAGACAAGGACTCATTACTTCCTTTGATCTTAGTTTACAAGCATAAAAACGGCCAACACAAACTAAAACAGAAATGATCTATATACAAACACAGATGAGAAGAGTAAATTGGCTTTTATCATAGAGAACCCAACCACGTAACATTTGGTCAAACTCAAATACATATTACCATTCATACAAGCTTGAACAACTGTGTACAACAACAAAAAATAAAACTAATCTTTTTTTTTTCTAACAATAAGATTAATTTTTTTTTTACTATCCAAGATTAGTAAGAAATTTAAAGAGGGAAAAACATGTTGTGCCTTATTTTTCAAGTTTTTTTTAATTTTTTTAAAAATATAAGTACTGGAAATTATGAAGATCACATGTGTAATGAAGAAACAAGAAAACTGGTTGAAAGTTAACGGTTTCATCAGTTTTGTGACAAAATATTTTTTTTCCGTTTTGGGTGGGTTAACTAACATTTTTTAATATTAACATTGACAAACATCACAACGAATGATTTGTTAAGATGTATTTTCATATTTTTTAAAAGAAACACATGATCAGCTTTTTCTAGAGATAAAAAAAAGAGCGGAATCGAATATGAAACAAAAAAATGCTAGTTGCTGGCAATAATTAATACTCTAGAACTAGATTCAAAAGAAAAATAAAGTGATATGTTTATTCAGATTTGTATTTGTTTACAAACGTTTAAAAACCGATTTCACCATCAAAAGAGAGAAAAACTCTAAGCAAAAAAAATAATGAAACGTTTGCTACAAAAAGAAAAGCGTTTCCATGTTGACTTATTATTTGTGTCAACACAAAAACAAAATTATTGTAAAATCTACATGACATTTTTGATTTACCATTTATATAAAAAAAATATCTACAAATAATAGCGGATCAGAAGTAATTAATAGAAACAAATATACCAGAAAAAAAATGACATTTTTAATAAAATAATAAAAGCGTTGAAAGTGGCCCAAATAAAAAAAAAAAGTATTAAAATATGAATCTACAATTAAAGATGTTTTTTAAGAGGTAAGTATAAAATAGAAAAAGATAAATATTGGGAATTATAAAAAGTTTTTAGTTGATTTCTTTTAATTTATAGAGTCTTGCAATAAAGAAATTGTCAAAATCCTTCAAAACCAAGTTTTTTTGTTTTTTTTTTTATAACTGAAAACAGAAACGACAAATTTCAACGAGACAGGCGGTCAGTTAAAAAAAAATGACATTCCGTTTTTGGGACGATATTATTGTTCTATTTGAGGAAGTTTCGAATAAACAATTTAAAATAATTTATAAAAGAAAAGGAAGAATGTTACAACAAGGCTTCATAAACAACTGCACATGTACTTAAAAATAGCAAATAAAAATACATTTTCTATGATAATGATGGTTTGTTTGCTACAATAAAGAAAAAGACGTGAACTGAACAACACTTACCATGGTAGATATAGAAGAGAAGAGCCTTGTTAGTTCGCTTAGATTCTCAAGGATTTTTGTTTGGGTAGAGAAAAAAAAAGACAAATGTCTCCTCTTTGGATCATAAAAAAAGAAAACGATTATAATTAATATTTTTTAGTTGTGTACAACTTGATTTCTTTACCAACACCACATTACTGGCCTTTTTTTCATGTCCTCCTTCTCTCGAGGCGGGGGTGATTTTTAAAAAAAAATCAAGATGTGTATGGACTGGAGAAGGGTTATTTATATTTATATATATATATATATATATGTATATATACACTTATACATACATACATATATATATATGTTATGTTTGGAGATTGTACGTGATTATTGTTCGAATTGATAATCTTCCTGTTTCTTAAAGCATTTTTAAAAAAGGAAATAAACACTAAAGAGAAGCTAAAAATTAAACAGACATAGGTGCCTTCTTTTTTTTTAACTGTGTATATGTTGTGTTTTTTTTTGTGTGTGTTTGTTCAATATATAATAGGACGAATGAATATACAATAGCCAGGATAATAAATTTACACTCTCCACATCTTTCCAGAGAGTAAATCCCGCTAGTAAGCCTTATTTTTTCACAACGCTACGAAGGCTCACTCTTTATGTTCTAATCATAAAGATACGTATAGACTGAGTGTGACAATGGAATATTGAGAGAGTAAGATTATAGAACAATGAAAGGATGAGGAGCGCGAAAGAGAGTGAGGGAAAGGTAGAGTATGTAGAGTATGAAACAGTGACAGGGAAGGCGATATCGCTATGGAATAGTGAGGGAATAGAATACGAAGTGAGTGACATGATAAGAATTAGGGGAGAAGGAAGAGTAAAAGAGTAAGTAAACGTAAAAAAAGAAGTAGCAGGAATAGCGAATGAGTGAATAAGACAAGGGAGGAATAGAGCTGTGAGTAGAAGAAAGAGGAAAATATAAAACTTAGTATAATATTATAGAGAGTGGGGTAAAATAATAGCGAAGCAGTGAAGGAGTGTATAGTGAGAGAAGAAGATAGTGAAATATTGACGGAGATGAATGGAGTTGTAGTAGTAGTGTGAGTAATATAGAAGAGAATGAAGGAGCGGGTGAATGAAACTATGCGAGAGTAAGTGAGTATATGAGATTATTAGAGAGTGTGATAATAAGATTACAGCGGGGTGAGTAAGTTGAAGAGGTTTATATGCCAAACGGAGGAATGGATGGAGCAAGTAACGATGGAATGAGAGCTGTACGGACCGGAAACAGAAACGAGTGTCAACCTGAGGGTGGAGGAATATGCAAGGAAGATGAGGGAGTTTTTGGTAAATACTGAAAGCAAGAGGAAAAATTCAAGTATTTCCATAGTAAAAGAAAGTACACAAAAAGAGAGATGAAAATAAACAGTTGAGTTAATTACGAATACAATTGAAATGGAAATAGCATATCAAAATCAACTATTGTCAATCATTAACAATTTATTTAACATTCAATGACAATGCAGTGAATTTCACAATTATAGTACAAGTTAGTTGTCTTTTGGGGTTTTTTTTCTATTATTAGTCATGCTGGTATTCTGGTGTATAATAATAACAAAATAATGTTTTTTATTATTATTTTTTCTTGTTTGTTGGAACTATATAGGAAGGATAAATAAAATTAATTAATTAAAAAATACATACGCATACACACACATAGTGTTGCCAATAAAAAAAAAGTCTTTTTCGTTATTGAGAATAATATCCTATTATTAACCAAACTGTTTTTATTACAAATATTTTTAAGATAGTATTTAACCGACTAATTTTTTTTTTTATCGCATAACGTCAACGACAAAATTTCGAACCATTTCGCTAATGAAATAACAAGGCCTGTCTCTATATTTCCATGAATTCTTACAGAAGAAAAGTAGACAGACGCAAAAAAGACATTTATTTGCTCAAACGATTTTTTGTTTTCTAACAGCAAAGATTTTTCTTAAAATTTAATTTTACATTCCCCGAAAGTAAAGAAAGAGTGTTGCAAAAAAAAAAAAAATGTAAATGACTAATCAACTATAATTATAAAAAGCTAAAAAAAAAACATTTAAAATTTTACGGGTTTCCCATTATCAGTGCAACTTAAAAGACAGTCAGCTGAGCGACAACATAATCACAACAAAGCCAAAATGAGTGATTTCTTTCAGACTGTGCAAGATAGTTACATTTCTTTTGTCAAGCGAATTTTACACTGAAGTTGATAAATGAAATATTAAATTAAAAAAAGCAATGTTTATTTTGAATTTACTGTTTTGTTTGAGTGTTATTGTTTTCTTCACATAATCGCTCTCGAACATTCTATCTTTAGTTTTAGAACTAAGTTTTCCCTCCTGCAGCAACTATTACGAAGCAGTTTCTGTACTAGAGCAAAAAATATTTATTTTATCTAAAGATTTAACAATTGTGAAGACATTTTTGACCTTTTAACTAAAAAAAACAACGTACGAGGAAGCATTGTTTTATCTTTTAGTAATTTTTTTACCTTTTAGTTTTAAAATCAGACTGTAAATTAAAACTTATTGATAAATAAATGGTAGCCATTAGCTAGGTACATGTAAAAGGATTTCTCTTGCTAGTTAGGAACAAATCTGAAAATAAAGCAGTAACAGCAGCACACATAGTAGTTAGTACATTTTATTTATTTATTTTTTTAGTAACGTTACAGTATAGGCAACAAGGAGCAATTGCTACACTTTTGATTGGTCAATGACTGCTCACGTGACATACATGGCACGCGCGCAATGCGATTGTGCTAATATTTTTCATCACTGAGTGCGAAACTACCGTTTGGACCCCCCCGCGCCCAATTCCTTAGCAACCTCGTTTTAATTTATTTATATATCGCCCCGCTTAATGTTACCTTCAAATCGTTTCCGTCTAATTTTGGCCTTGCCCTACTACACAGTAACACCAAGCCTTTTTTTTCTTCTTTTTGCTATAAACATCTTTGTTATTAAAAAAAAAAAATGCTTATTATTAGTAATAGTTTTACTTTTACTAAATAACATTTTTTTTTTACTACTTCATCTTTTTTATTTTCTTTCTCTAGGTTTCACCTTCAAACTTACTTATTTTTCTCCCTTTTGTGCTTCCTCGGCAGCCACCTGTTTTTCTTTCTACTACATGAAAAGTTGATGAGAACGCTATCACGTACTTACATTACATTACAAATTTAAAAAAAGCATATCATACCTGTTCTTTTCATTTACATTTATTTTAGTAACGCACCTCTTTGTTGTTAATAATGTTAGTTCGTCTGCCATTTTGACTTAAAGCATTCTCAGAATTTATCAATTCATGCTATTAATCAATGTCACAATGTCTTAATGATTCTACTAATGTGTAGATTCAGCATTCAATTTCTTACCAACATTGACATTGATTATCTAAGGGAATCAGCCACCTTCAGTCACATGTCACAATCAAGTTTTCAATGTCCTGTGACATCAGATCTTTCCTCTCTTTTTTTCTTTCCTTTTATCTCGTCTATATGCCTTGCATTTTTTTAATGAACATAGATAAATTTTGGTTGCAACTGTTTATTTAAAGAATGATGCAAATACAACCAGGTCTTTTTAATTATGATGTAAATATAATTAGGGCTAATTAATAGCTCTATTTCAGCATATACAATAAAATTAAGTCTTTTTATTTATAAATCATTTAATTTATTAAAAAAATAACAAAAACATGATACTTGTGTATTTTATTGAACAACTCATCTTTAGATGAATAATAATACAGCTTAATGATTTTATTGCAAAAGTAATTATTAAAAATCAGTGAGTGCTTGATAGCCATTTGCTATTAGCAGAATAGTAAAAGGATTTACAGAATTTACCTTTTTTTCAATATAATCTATTCTCACTTTACCATAATGATAGAAACCTATGTGTTTTACAATGTCAAATATTAAAGAAACAATATATTAGCCACAATATATTGCTTTTTCTGCATCAAAATACTAGGATAGTAGAAGAAAATGGTAAAAAAAAAAATAGAAAATTTCATGAAAAGGCACCAATATTTTTATCCTATATCTTTTATTCTTACTACTGGAATCTACGGATATTTCATAGTGCATTTGCAATTTGGAAATAAAACACAAGACAATGTACATTTTTATAATACATGAAGAAAACAATGTTTATAATTTTAAATACAGGCTATCCAATTCCAAGTACACAATGAAAAAGCAGTCATCATTATCATCATTCCCATGATTGGGTGTGGTCCTAAGTTCACTATGTAATTGAGCACCTGACCAATTTCTTCCACATATCTGGGTTGAAAGCCGGAGAGGTATTCATACATGCATAACATGTCTTGGACAAGTGAAACTGATGGAGCCCATATATCTCCAGTCCAGACCACAACCAATATCCTCCACCATGAAGACTCGTCTTCTTGGTCATGGATACATGGTCATTGATTCTATCTGCTGAACTCCCACCCCAACCACCATAGTTGTTAACTTCAATCTAAGAAGTCCTTCATTCAGCAATGCTGTGTCATTACCATGCTGAATATACTGTTAATAGTTCAATTGTATGTGCAGATTTAAACTGCAGTTGGTTGAAATTCTGTAACAATGCATTACTGCATTGAAATCTTCACTTCTTGAAACCACTATGCAACAAAGTTTGGTTTGTTTTTTTGTTGTTGAATTCAGCTCTCTTATTTGAACTCAGCTCTCTAATTTCTTATTGCAAGCTGATATTCATTACACCACCCATACATCCTTTGTTGCAGAAAAAGCAATGTATTATAATTTGTATTCTCTCTTGAAAATTTGGAAATGTATAATTTAGGTAAGTTTCCATTCAAATAAAATGATTACTGGATCAGTGTTTAGGTTTATTTGGTTTATTTTGTTTCTACAGCATATCAGCCTCAATGGTTTATCTGTCTATATTTCTGAGATGAGGTAATATAATTATTTACATGGTTCAGACTGTAATTATTTACATTTTTCAGACTGTTGTCCTCATTTTCACCACATTTTGACTGCCTTCTTCAGGTGATTGGAATTTCAAACTGAACCCTTTATTTCATCCACTGGGGTAGATTGTTCTATTTCCACATGTCATGCCTCTTCCAGATATCTCAGTTACCTCCTTTTAACTCCACTCCAAGTTTTTTTGTTCACCACTGCAGTAGCCAGGTATTGAACTCACAACTCTTTGGGTCAAGTGACTGAATTCAACCAATGCTTTTAACCATGTGTTCTTGAGAATTATTGCTGACAAGACTTTTAGAATATGTATTCTTTGTAAGAAATCAGTTTGTAGATCAGGTTTCATTGATGAGGGTTTTTTCAAGAGTAATATGTATTGCTGGTAATATTTTTTTCAAAAATGTATTGCTGGTGTTTTTACTATAAAAATCTCTTTTTATACATTCATAGTGTTTTTACCCCAGTTTGAGTGTTCACGATTTGCTTATTGCTTGGACCCTAGTAGGTGCTACCACTCTATGTCAGGGTAGACATGGAAACAACAGCAATTATGAGGTGGTTCCATGCTCCTCAAAACCTCCCAACCAAAGGCCTTGCTGCCAAATATAGTTTATCATCATACCCAGGATGTAGTGTTTAAGAACTCCTTGACAAGAAAGTAAACAAGAAAGGACTGTCACTTGTAAGAAGAGAGAATGTAAGATCATTAGCAAGAGGGACAGTCCATGATGCAATCTACAAATTGGAAATGTCAAAATTGAGTAAGTACAGAAATTTAAATATCAGGGATGCGTCTTAACAGATGACTAAAAATGTGACATTGAAATCTGTAGGCATATTAGCATAGTGAAATGCTTTTCAAAAGCTAAACAAAGTATTAAAATTAAAATATTTTTAATGACTATGAGCGAGCTTACATTGTCATTCTTTGGAATAACATGTTTTTTATTTTAAAGATTTCATCACTAAGAAAATGTTGCAGAAGTCACTAAAATAAACTTGGGTGATCAAATTGTTACTTTGATATTTTTTACTTTATCCTCTTAACCATCTTATCACATTAAGATTTTTAAGTATTCAGACTTTTGGATCACTTAATGGTGAAACTGTTAAAAGTAGAAAATGTCATTTGATAAAAAATAAAAGTATAAGTTCACACTCAATAAAATAAATTGAAATTTTTAAATAGGAATATTTTATTCCTCTTAACCATATTACCACATTATGATTTCTAACATTTCTGACCAACATTTTTTTCATTGTGAAACCTTTAAAAGTAAAATATGTTATTCTGAAAAATGACAGTAAAAGCTGGCAGTTGATAAAATAAACTTAAATTATCAGGTTGGGATTTTTCTCCTTTTAACCATA